GAGAGAGAGAGAGAGAGAGAGAGAGAGAGAGAGAGAGAGAGAACCTTAGCATCAAGTTTCTTTCCATCTTTTCCTGCAGCTGAACCAGTCATCTTTCTCTGCAACATGCAATATAAAATTCGTAGTTTGGCTTGAAGTCAAAAGAGCAGCGAAGATAAGATAACAACAGAGACCAGCATACTTATCATTGTGCAAGTTCAAAAGGCAAATACATATATATATATATACATATATAATAATTCTATGATTGGAGCTGATAAAGATGCAAACGCTAGAAGTATAGGTGATGGGCCAGGTCATGTCAGAACTCAAACCGCATGATCCGTGAGAAAAACGGATGAAGACCTGAGTTTATGAAGGTGAAAAAAGTCAAGCTTGGTAGGTCTTGCTGGGATCCGTTTTGACATTATGCTGTTGTTATAGGATGGTCGTCGGTCAAGCATCCGGATGCAATGATCTGAGGCTTCAGCAAGAACCTAGAGTCGATGCAGTTGAGGAGGTGAAAGGCCCAGGTTGTTCGTTTCTTATCTCCGGAATCGAGCTACTGCTACTGCTTAATAAAGCAATCAAACGGTACCTTCTCTTGGGATGCGAGTTGAGAAGTTGGTGTCGTTCCTGTGATGGAGCCGTCGCCTGCGATCATCATCGTCATCATCGCCTGCTCCTGGTCAGCAGACTGGTCCGAAGAAGCCCTTCTGCTTGCTGTAGAGTCTGATCCTAGATGAGATGTGGTGGTGTCTTGAGCCGAGCCTAGATCGGTGCTGTTCGCCGATCGTGTCTTCCCCTGGTGGGTACAAAGCAGGAGCCATAAAGCCTAAACGGAGCAGTCAACCAGCTCCTTCTTCTTCTGGTCTATCTTAAAGGTATTTCTACACCGTAAACCCAAGTCAAGAAGGCAAGACCTTACTCTGGGAGTTTGCTGGGATCTCATTGGCCATGATGGGAAGATCTCAAGTGTCGCTGGCCTGGTTGCGAAAAAGGCTGCAGGAACGGGAGATGCGGCAGATTAAAGAAAGCTCCAAGTATGAGGAGAAAATAGAGGAGCAGGTATTAGTTCTTGAAGAGGTAGCAAATGCAAAGAGTTATAGAACGCTTCAACCAAGACGTGTCTGTGGTTGATGTGGTTAGAGTTGGGAGAGAACCAAACGAGAAAGGAAAGAGAGAAGAAGGCCCACCCTTTGTGTCTTCTTCGGTTTCTCTTATGCCGTCTACTCCCTGCATGAGAGCCTTTTCCAACTCCCCAAAGTAGGCAGCTCCTTCCTGATCACTGTTCGGGCAACACAAGTCCATCTAACTCATCGATTACGATTTAGAACAGGAAGAAAAGCAAACTGAAACTGCTGCTACTTTTTATGCAGACGGGGAAGAGGAAACAGTGAGCGGAGGAAAGAGGAGGTAGAGATACGAGGAACTGAGAAGCGTACATGTATGGATCAGGCCAAAGCTTTGTGAAATTGGTGTGCAGAGGTGTAGCACAATAAGAATGGGATATAACATAATAAAGAGCCCACTTGGGAAATAGGTGCTTGGAAAAGGTGGTGCTATTCCAATTAAAGGCGGTCGATTAGCAAAGCAAATATGATAACTCTGCGACGATGTGTAAAGCTTGCAAGATATTGGGGCAAAGGATGAGATCCAGCCGGAAACTATAAGCATAAATCATTAAAATAAGCCTCGAAGAAGAAGAAGATGATGATGAGGAGAAGGAGCAAAGACTTCAAGAAGAAAAATTTAGGAACAGTACAAGAAATTAGTCGCAGCTTGAGGAGTGGTGCCATGAATTCCATCAGCGACTGATCGAGTTGAAGGTCCAGAATCAGAAAGGCCAGTTTCACCGACTCTATGATTTGCCATCCGAGTTTCTTCTTCTCCCTCTTGCACCATTCCGAACCTTCAAAGCTGCTTCGTATACTGATCTCTCAAGCTTGCTCGGCGCTTCTGCAGCGACCACCACCGGGAGAAAAGATGATCACAGCTTCAGGAACAGAAAATTGCAGCTGGCTCCGAGAGAAGAAATCTGAACAGTAGCAAAGTTACCGTGCACTTGAAAATAAGAGGAGCTCTTCCAGGCAGGGAGGCGGAGAAACAGAAGAGAGTTAGTTCCCCTTCCAAAATGGCCTCAGGAAGGTGGTACTGCTTTCATATAGCTGAAGCTGACTCGTCCGATGGACCACGGCCGCTGTGTGGTTCTCTTTTTCCGCTCCGGTGACTGGCAATTATGTCCGACTCTCGAGTTCATCCATGGTACCTCCTCGAAGATCTTGTCCTTGTGGATTTTCTGCGCCCGCACACAGAAGGAGAGAGGAGGGAGAGAGGGGGCAAATAATGGTAGGATTCTGGCACCGTTTCCACACCAGTCCTTGTATCGCTATTTGGCCCTTCGGAAATATAGAGTCTGCGATTTCGCATCGATGAGAGACAGACAGCCTTCCGTCCAATAAATAATTGCCAGCGAGTTCTCTAACTTATCGTCTATTATACCGTCTCCGAAAGGCAGAGTTTACTTTGACCAAGAAAACACATTTTAGATATTTTTTTCCTTACATGAAAAATAATATGAACGCATTACAGGACGCACACAGACGCCGTGGGCTTCCCCCCGTCTTTGCTCGTCAAGCTCGAGGGGCTGAAGTTGGTGACACGCCATGTTTTCCGCACCTCGCGCTGCAGAATACGCTGCTGCTCCTTTCCCTTCGCGGAAAGCTTGGTATCGACTCCTCGAACCGAAGCGCTGGGAATCGAATCTGTAGCCATCGCAACTCATCGGAGACCTCGCTCGAATTATAGAAGACAAATGGCTGTCCACCTTTTGAGTTCGCAATCATTCCATGCGCATGAATATTCATTCCGGCTAAAACCTATTAGCAAACTCATGCAGAAATGGGTGCGACAGCCATCACCAGCATGTCTGTAGCAGAAAGAGGACAGAAAGAATCTGAAACGAGAAGGCAAACAGGCATTAATTAGAAATCCAGCAAGTAGACGGCGTATTAAAGAAACAGGGAATTCGTTCAAGAAGCCAAAATGTAGGATGAACCACCATCCACAATGATAGTCCTCCAATAATTGAACCCGCTCCGACCATCGACTTCTAAAGGCGTCTATAATTAAATGATCAGTTTCTTAAATATTAGACCGACTATGGGCAAGAAACTGCACACATCTATCTATCTCTGATCCTTCTAAGTTGCTCCCATTCCGATAAAGATAAGGCCCGAGCTTTGAAGTCAGCCAGGGTAAATATATTATCTGTTCTAATGGTCGCCAAGGCGGCATTGCATTATTCATCCACGCCATTATAGAGAATAGGAACCTCCAATCGGCCACGGCCGGATGCTTTACGTGTGTATCATTTGCATGGAGGCTTATAGAGCCCTCGCATTTGGGCCTCAGTAAGCTGCTGGCCAACAGATCCAACACACAGAGAGAGAGAGAGAGAGAGAGAGAGAGAGAGAGAGAGAAGTGGGAGGTATATATATATTCACATTCTATGTCATCCCGAGGCTTCATAAAATCATCTCTCTCTCTCTCTTTCTAACTGGATTCGGTCCAAACCTGCACGATAACTCGGTGGCCCAATCGAGATAACATCATGACTCACGCCATTGACAGAAATTGAGTTTGATGTAGAAAGAATGAAATACAAACTAATGAAAACCCGAGAAGAATGGTGCTTACCATTGACAATGATCCTTTGGTTTAGAGGCTTCTGTTCTACGTAAAGAAACAATGTAAGATATTAAACATCCGAAAATAGATCTGCCAAGTTCATAAACCAATAGTGAAGCAAACTAAAGAATTAAACAAAAAGTGAACGAGTTTGAAAGATCGAGTAGCTGTAAAAGCTCAAAGCAGTAACAGGAATGTAACAGAAGAGCTCATGATATAAAAAGGCAAGCTGCTTGAACAGATCATTGATTACAGAAGACAACTCGATCTATAGCGTAAGGTCTTTCTCTAACATTCGGAGTTGCTATCGATTGCTATATTTTATGACGAACAAATCTATTAAAAATTCTGTACAACCTTAAAAACGTTTTGGCTATTACTACGTGCAAAAAATTTGTTGTCGGTGCTCAGACAACAATAGATGATACCAAAGCAGTGTGCTGGCAAGTCAAAACATAATGCAAAGGATAATAATATGAACCATGGTTAGTTTTAAGTTACACTGGGAAAATAATATGAATCATGGTTCTCTATTTTTACTCATATAAGTGCTAAATAGACGGTAGGTACCCATCTAGGTCTGGATCGGACCTCCTATTTCGGATGGCTTGGTCCAACCCATTAGAAAAATTATAGTTCTCCGTACGCGAGAAGCATGGAATCGCTCCCGAGCCACTATCATTCGATGCTGCCTACCTTCCTGCCGCTATCGTTCAATATTTCTTATCTCTCGAGTACACCTCCCGCCTCCTCTTCTTCCTTCACAACTCTACTGTCTTCACTTTCTCCTCCTACTTTTTTCTTCCTCCACTACCGCCACCTCTTCTTCTTCTTCCTCCTTCCTTCCTTCTTCTTCTTCTGCTTCTTCTTCCTTTGTCTTAAGTTTCTTTTCTCCTTCTTCTTTCTTCTAAGGCATTGGTATTGATCGGTGTATATTAATATAATCAACACTCAATATGGGGTTCAATATGCGAAATATCATTGTTTGATAAGAATACAACAACAACAACACCAACAAAGTCACAAGTCCTAACTATTTAGCGTCATCAGTTATATGGATCTTTTATCATCATAGACATATTAAAAAATCATATATTGAGTTACATTTAAGATACTTAAATCTTTATTTATGGTTTTCATTAAGGTCTTTTTAAGTCTTCCTCTATTTCTTCTCATACCACTAACATTAATTATTTCACCTCTTTTGATCACTGCATCCAGATATCTCGTTAGCATATGTTTATACCATCTTAAATGATTTTCTCTTATCTTATACACTATCTAAGTGATACATAGTTATTTACAAATAAAAGTATTTTTTTCTTTTTTTTTCTAATAACTTTATACATCCATCTCAATATTCTTATCTCGACAACATAATTTTTTTGTATATATTTTTTCTTAACTGTCCAACACTCAGATTCACAAGGCATTGGTAATCTCACAAATGTATTATATATATCTTTTTGAATCTCAAAGATATCCAATGATTATACAAGATTCCTAACACCTCTCAGCATTTTAACCATCATATTTTTACTCTAAATAATATTTTTATGGATCTCTTATTTTGTTGAATAATTGATTCAAGATATCTATTATTTTTATTTAATGAGACTTTTTGTTCATCCAATTTAACTATATTCTCTTGTCTATTTCTATAATCACTAAAATTATATTTTATATATTCAATTTTAGTCCTATTTAGTCTAAAACTTTTAGTTTGTGGAGTTTGTCTATGTAGCTCAAGCTTATAATAACATACACTATGGAGATCTATTATATAAGTGACTAATAAATTTATCCATTATCAATATGAAAATATGAAGATGTAATGTTGATTCTTAGTGTAATTCTATGTTAATAACATACTCATTATATAACTTCCATAATTATAACACTAGTAGCTATATTATCATACATATCTTTAATAATATTAATATAATTAGTTGATACATTTTTTTCTCTAAAACCTATCATAATAAATCTCTAGGAATCCTAACATAGGCTTTCTTTAAGTAAAAAATATATATATAATTTTTTTCTCCCTATACATTTTTATTAACTATCTTAATGAATAAATAGCTTTTATGTTTCATCTTTCAAGCACAAAACCAAATTATTTTTTCAAAGATATTTATTTTAAACTTTATCTTACTTTCAATAACTCTTTCTAAAGTTCCATGGTATGACTCATGACTTTAATTCCTCTATAATTTGAATAATTTTGTATGTCATCCTTATTTTTGTAGATTGATACTACAAAACTCTTTATCTATTCATCGGGTATCATTTTGAATCTTATAATTTTATTAAATAATTTTATTAACTAAATTACTCTTGTGTTAACTAAACATTTTCATACCTCAATAGAGATACTATCAATCCCACACTTTTAACTATTTTTATCTTATTTAATACTTCTTTTATTTCATTAGGTCTAATTTTATGAATAAATATATAATTATTAAATCTATCAATATTATTTATCATTAAATCTAAGCCATGTGTGAAATATTCATTAAATAATTTATAAAAATATTTTTTTATTTTTATTAATCTCATTATCATTAACAAGTATTATTTAATCTATGTCTTTAATGCATTTAATATTACCTAAATTCTTATACTTTCTTTTTTTAATTTTATTAATTTGATATATATTTTTTCACTAACCTAATTTATTATAAAAATTATCATAAACTTTATATCTTATCATACTTATCATAAAAATTATATAACCCAAAAGTAATCATTTTTCTACTGTGCCGCTCATCATGCCTTAATTTAAAATTAATTTTTATATATCTATTAGACCCTTATAAATTAATTTTAATTTTCTTTACTTCCAATATGGGACTAATATGAGGTATTACAACAAGTTTTTTTAATTATGAGCATTCCTTAAATTATATTATTTAAGTCTTTATAAAAAATTTTATTTGTTTGATCATCTAATTCAACTTGAAGGACATAAGTATTAATGATAATCAAAGCATCTTATCATTTTACAAATTATAGAACTATAATTATATCTTTAAATCTTTTTACATCTATAATATTATTCTTAAGATCCTTATAAATGATAATTTCTATATAATTTATGTGTTTACCTTTTTTAATATATCAAATTTTAAATCCAATATTATCAATCTCTCTCAACTTTTTCCCTACCTACTTAATTTCTGATAAGAAAATAATATGTATTCTTTACTAATCTAACACTATGACTAACTTTTTTACTCTCATTGGTCCAAAACAATAAGAGAATTTTTGCCTACTTAGGCACCACATTTGGACGTTGATGTGATGAGTAGCTTTCATGCAATCTTTTAGCTAATCATTTGTAATTTGAGATACTTAGATAGTAAAAGTGTCTCGTTTTACTTCCAGATAATAACCTAGCTTCATATTTAAATCAATTAAAATTCATGTTCATGAGATCTAACATAGTTCTACACCAGTTGTTAGTGACCTAACGCAATCCTTTATTTTTTTTCATATGAGCTTAAGACCGACATTGGCAAGATTCCTTGATAAGGTTAGTATTAGAAAATTAGGTTTATTACTTATAATTTTATAATTGATAAAACAAGATAACGAGAGTAATTCTCTTATAATAATTGTGATTTTATGTTAGTGCCTCTTATTCACATAAAGTTTGCTTCCTTGTAATATAATATAATTGGCAGCATAAGAAAATTTATTGATTATTCTAAGCCATCTTCTATGCCCTAACATGAGCCAATACAACGAGATACAACACCGACAATAATAT